GTGCGAGTAGCTTTGTCGGTGGAGGTTTTTGTTACAGCACGGCGCCGGTGATGGAGGTGACTAGGGATGTCAATCGGGCCGTATGTCCGCGAGCCTGGTCCGTTTAGTGACATAGCGGGGCGGGTACGGGCCTATGTAGTGAAGCCCAAAAATTAGCGGGCCTAGCGGACTTGGTCCGTTTAGATTACGGATTAAACAAGAGGGAAAAGGGGATTTTCATACCCGTATTATCTGCACCGTGGATTTTCATACCTGGACAATTTCGTAGGATATTTTACAACCTAAACTTCAATAAAATTTGAATCTCATACATATACTTGATACAACGTGCAAAAATCGGAGTCAATCTAATGGGTGTTAGTCATTCCTCGGTTTCTATTGGAATTTGCAGTTTGACTAACCTTTTGATCGTGTTGAACAAGTGAAGAGTTGTGTCTCTTCCTCTCTAAATTAATACGATACATACAAGAAGAATGTATGTTAACATCAGACGATAGAACTACAACGTGACAAGAAGGCACACGTTTTGTTCGACAAGAAATTCCAGAAAAAGCCTTTGAGAGGCAAAAAAAAAAGCTCCCACCTCTCTCTTCAAAACCTTAACCGCCTCTATAGTTCTGAGGGAGAGGAGCCTTTCCAGCAGCCGGTTTTCTTCTCCGGTTTGCGTTTGCTCTTCTCCCTCCCCCTCGTTTTTTTCTGTTCTTCATCGTCGGCCTTGTTTGTGGTTGCAACGAGAGTTTAGTGGTGAGTAGGATCTTTTCTCCGACAGCAGCGGTGTGGTATCTCTTCCTCTCGATGTAGCTGTGGATCCGGATTGGCGGTAGAGAAGTTCTGTTCTCGAGCCACTGGTAGAGGACGCCGGAAGGTTGAGGTACAGAGACTCTTGCGGCTCAGCCGTCAATTTGGCCGCTGCGGCTACGGCGGAAGTCGGGGGAAGAAAGGTGGGTTATGCTGTTCGATTGGTGGTTAGCTGTAGATCCTGTGGATCTTAGATGGCGGTCGTGGAGGTCGGCTTCAGTGGATTTGATTGAGCCGTCGGTCCCTGGATTCGCCACGATTTGTCTCCACCAGTCCGGATCGAAGGGTTCTTGCTCGGAGGGGTTAGAAATGTTCAGATCTAGAAGAGAGGGGATAGATCTGGTTTGTCAGGTTGCTAGGTCGGGACCTGATAACGTAGTGCCGGTGTATCGGAGGGTTAAGCATTTTGGGAGATCTGTAGCGGGTCAGGTGGCTCGCAGGAAAGGGATCGATGATGGAAACCGGTTTCTTTCGTCGGTGATTTTCGATCCAGCGTTGCTACCACGAAGCCGTGGATCTTCAATCCGCCGGAACTAGTGCTTCCGACTCTCTGCCACCGAGAAACAACAGGATCCGATCTTCTTTTCTTTTCCTGGCACTGATTTCTGGTCTCTCCATTTTGTAACTGGACTATTGTTGTAATTGTCCAAGCCCATTTGCTTTTTGGGAAGCCCATTAAAAAAAAAAAAAAAAAAAAAAAAAAAAAAAAAGAAATTCCACATCTAGTTAAAAGTTAAAACACATACCTAAGAAGCATATAACTAAGTAGAAAGAAACAAGAGCTCGAGCCAAATAACAAACCCAACAAATTCTGCAAAGCACTTAGAATTTTAGCTTCTGATCAAATGCACATAATTACGCATCATGAAAATTGATTTTGATGGGAATAAGTCAAACTTTTAAAATGTAAAACGAAATCACTAAAGGAAATTGAAACAAAGGTCTCGTGGTTAAACTCCAGAAAATATACACACAGACAAAAACAAAGCTAAGATTGACTAATTAGCTTTCGACAAAAAAAAAAAAAAAAGATTGACTAATTAGCAATTCCAAAGTTCACTATGAAATGATACATCAACCAAATAAGCTCTAAGATCCTAAATTCTCGGATGTGAAACAAGAGAATTAACAAACTCAAGACCAATTAGCAGCTATAGCTCACTTCTGAATATTTCAAAACAAGAGAATAAACAAACGGCTCGATCTCGTCTCGGGTTTCAACACAGAGCTTCAGAAAGTGAAGAAGACGGCAACGATTAATCTAGATCTGGAAGGTCTTGTCACCAGACCGCGGGCCGGTCCGACTAACCGTTGGGCTTTGCGGGGCGGGTTAGGACTGCGATTTGTAACCCGCGGTCGTCGGCGGGCCGGTCTGTCACGGATCCGAAGAAAAGCGGGCACATCGCGGGCGGTCCGTTTGGTCGCGGGCAGGCCCGTCTGCCATCCCTAGAGGTGACTGTAGCTCCGGCAAGAGTTGATTGTTTTGTTTTAGGGTCAAAAACGTCCAAAATACAGGAAATACACATAATATTATTGGGGTTTTTTTTTTGGTTAGTTACCTAATTATAATATTTTTGTATGTTATTGATGTAAATTTTCCTTAAATATATATATATGCTTGATTGTTGCATTTCAGTGTATTAAATGAATATATTCATGATTTTATTTTCTCCAATGATTTCAATCTATATATACAACCTAAAACTGGTCAACATGTGATAGAAGAGGAGAAATGTCAGTATCTATCGAGACAAAAACTTCTCTTCTTCTAAGGGCATATGCAAGGGTGCATCTTTGAAGTTTGATCTTACGGGAGAAAAAATATTAAAATATTGTAAGAGCTTTATTTAAGATCTTTTGTAAAGTAAGTGATTATTGGTAGAACATGTTTAGATCATAGGAATTGATTTGAAATTGAAATAATGTAAGATCATTAGTTTACAATTTCAAAAACTTTAAGAAATAACTTTTAAATTGCAAACTTAAAAAACTTATACTAAAATAGATTTGAAAATAAAAAGAAACACAACATATAATATCAAATTTTTATGAAACAAAAAAGAACATTAAAGATATAAATAAAAAAACAAACAAACAAACATATTATTTAATTAAACCCTAGCATAGATTTCGGATCAAAGGAGAAATGAAATTTTTTTTCCTTTGCAAAAATTCGTAGCCAATGATGAAGCGCCACGTCACGCTAAAACTGGGCCAAGAACAGATCTACAACAGATCTAACACTATTCACAATATTTTCTATTTTTAAAAGGCTAAGAACACCTAAGTGTTCTCCCTTTAAATATGGCCTAAGTTTGCTTCTTATGCTTCTTTGTATATCCTTTCATGTTAGAGTCACGAATGCTAGACTCCGTCCCGTAGGTCAGTATCTATTTATTACAAAAACTTTGCTACACGATTTTAAATATTTTGTATTTTTTTCTTAATTAATTGTGATTTAGTACTCTTATTACAATTGTCATTAACATAGGTGGCCAAATTAATTCTTTTAAACATCAAAGTTTAAAAGATTATATGTACCTTTAATACTAAATCAATTCATAGGTGGTGCATGCGGAGATTACATCTACTTTTAATACTAAAAGAAGATGTCAAACGACAATCGAAATATTATCACAACAATAATTAATTTCTTGATATTTAACATAGGTGCATGACCAAATCAATTCTTTTAAACATCTCCGCATGCACCACCATATTCATGAAACCGGGGCGTTACAGATATATATCATATACGGTATAATATGATCCCTATTTAAGCAGTAGAAAATATACACTTCTCAACAACAATTTTTAAAGCCTCATCATAGATAAAATTCTTTAGATGTATAATTTGTTTTGTAGGAGTTTTTCGTTTCTCGGTTAATGATAGGGCCAGTTTGTATCAAGGCCACATCATCCATCATATTTACACATTTATTGCATACCATTCCCGTACTAATCTACCCATATCAGTTCACCCAGTTTTGTCCTTGCAAATTACAATTATCCATACCACCGCCAAGTTCACAATCTAATCCAGGCACGTCATTCTAATCTATTTGGTGTTCACAAACCTTTCGAGCATTAAACTAATCACGCCAATTCTAGTGGCTCACGGTCATGTTGTTCTAATTGATATAAGATCCAAAGCTTGGTGATAGGAGATGGAGTCACGGGAAGCAACAAGCTGGTTTTAACGCTCTCTCTTGTTGTTCAATGGATGGATGCGGAGATAGATATGGGATCAAACGAGCTGGCAGACGCTCTCTCTCGTTGGATCGATTGATGGTTTTGATGGTGGATCGAGGATCGCCACTCAAAGGTGCGACAGCCTTTGTGATGAGATCACGAATCTATACTTTAATGAATCCACAAAAAGGACATAGACTCAAACATTTACTAAGTAAAGGAATCTACCTAACTTAGATAAACAAAAACAAAGCCTAAGCTTTAGAGAAAATTCTCTCTTTTATATTCCAAAAATCTATATCTTTACAATGAATGGAGAGATGAGTTTATATAGACTCAATTTACAAATCATCAACATAAATGCAAAATAAATCAAATTAATTACATAAATCAATCAAGAATTAATTTTGAAAGATTGTGCCAATCATCTTTAATGGAGATTGGTTCTTTGTATCTAGACACTTTTTTCATACTCTTTTGAATTTGGGCTTGATATGCATTGAACCATTTGTTGATGGGCCATAGACGTTAACCGTATTTTCAAGATTGCATCATTAATGCTCACGGAATCAAGTTACACGAATTAAACTTTAAACGTCCGAACATGAGATTTCATTTTCTTACTCCATGGCAACCTCTCAGCTCTTACCATTTTCACCTCTAAAAAGCGTGAAGAAGTCTATATCAGCAGCGACAATGCTACGGAAAAAAGAAGAAGCCATTATTATGGATTGGTGGAGGAAAAGATCACTTGGTCGTAGCTTTTGAAAGATCGAGTTTCGTGAAGGATGGAATAACAAAAAAAGGCTTTTTCCTGAAGTTGAATTTAAATGGCTCTACCATTCTTCAGAATTCCTAAGAAGTGTATAACCTCCATGATCATAGAATCGGTTGTCATAAACAATTTTAAGCAAGCAGTGATGTAAATCAAAACCAGATCTTAACATTATTACCAAAAAAAAAAAAAAATCACAACAAGAGTTATACATGCATAAGTTCTTTGTACACGGTACACATACATAAGAAACGTATTGTGAGTTCATTAGTTCATCACTTACACATAACATAAATATCACACAATGACCATCATACACATATACAACATAAAGGTGCATATCAAGTAATATCTTAACCAAGCCCTGCAACTTAAATTGGACTAAATATCTTGATTAACTTTCATTCTTAACCAGTGCCATCTCCATATACTAGTCCTTCAGAGTTCAGTTCCAGTTATATATTATAGTTTTGTTGCATTTATCTTCAGTCGCCATCTCTCAAATATGGAGGTACTTAAAGTTGGAATATCCCACATTCTTTTATAACCATTTCGTTACTGTCGACTTGGAACTCAAAGAAAAGCTCCCTGGATGTCACATCCGCTTCAAAGTCAAAGGTGTATAAATGCTCCGTTAGAGAGGGAGGTAGAAAATGGTGTGTAGGTCTGCATTGAACATCAAGACCAAGATATAAGATGCAATAAGATTCCTTCATCAGTATTCTACCAAACACCTCCTTGACCTCACTCTCTTTGTCACCTTTATTAACCAGCAAGATGCAAACCTTAAATCTCGAGGTTGTTGAAAGACGCCTTTGATTCAGTTTACTCTCATGGAATTTCCCCTATTAGTTCGGTGAGTGAAGTACGTTCTTCTTCCTCGGGTAAGTCCGTACACTTGGTACTAATCTGGATGATGAGTTCCTTCGCTTCTTTATTCAGTTTGAGGCAGTTAACTAGGCCTGGGCAAAAAAACCGTACCCGAGTACCCGAACCGAAACCGACCCGAAAAAACCGGTTTGGGGCGGGTACGGGTATTAGCTATTTACCCTATTGGGTCTTGTATTGCCGTACCCGTGGGTATAGGGTAAAACCCGATCCGAACCCGATACCCGAACGGGTACCCGATTACCCGAAATTACATATACTTATACATATAAAACTTTTTATATATGTAATATTTGAATTAAATACATTTATATCTAAATATCCGAGAATAGTTACCAAAAATTAAATGCACTTATATTTAAATATTTAAGACAAAATATATTTATACGCGAGATGCTTGTAAATTTTTTAAATATTTGGACAAAATTCCGGTTATTCGGATAAATTTTCGGGTGAAACTCGGATATTAGAGTAAAATTGCGGATAAAATTCGGATATTAGGATAAAATTTCGGATAAAATTCGGGTATTTGGTAAAATTTTGGGTATAAAATACCCGAACCCGATGGGTACCCGATTTTTTTGGGTATTTAGCGGTTCTAAAAATCTAAACCCGAACCGACCCGAACCCGATTAGATCCGAACCGAAACCGAACCGATATTTTAGATTTACCCTATTGGGTCCTAAACTCCTCTACCCGAAAGACCCGTACCCGATCGGGTTTTACCCGAACCCGACCCGCATACCCGAATGCCCAGCCCTACAGTTAACAAACCCAAGAGATATCTTTGGATTGTGAAAGGAGCAATCGAGTCTCTCAAGTGACTCACAATTTACTACCTTTAGGTATGATAAGGAATCTGAAAGTTGTGGGAGTGATACCAGCTTCTTGCATCCGCTAAGTATAAATGTTTGAAGCCTAGAGATTTTCTTGACCCATAAAGGAATTTCTTGCATTTCCTTATCATTAATATACATCGTTGTGATGATATCAAAAGCATGTTGGGATTCCTTGAGGTTTTGATTGTATGACAATTCCAAGTCACAAAGACGAAGCCATGACTTAGTAGACGAAGGGACTTCTTTTATTGCAGTTCCAATAAGCTTTAGAACTTTAATGTTTGTAGAGATCTCAGGAAATCTTTTCAACACCAAGCAATCAGTTAGATCAAGTTCTTCGAGAGATTCCAAGTTGATGTTAGCAGGAAGAACCTCTAGCTTTGTGCATCCATTTAAAGTCAATTTTTGTAACTTATGAAGGTTCCCAATAGAAGAGGGCAGCTCCACCAAACTAGTGCACATATTAAGATACAATTTCTGGAGATTAGTGGCTTTACCAATAGAGGATGGAAGCTCCACCAAACTTGAGCATTTAACGAGAAATAGTTCTTGTAGGTTAGTGGCAGTTGAAAGATCAGGTAGCTCCTTTAGGATTTTTGAATGATTCAAATACATCCACTTCAGGTTTGCAAGCGGCTATTCAAAAACAAAAGGCAATATAAATGAAAACATTACTAGTGAAAATTCTTTTTTTTTTTTTTAAACTTCTAACCCATCAAAATTAAATTCAACTAGTAATGGATTTTTAAGACTCCTCAGCATATAAGGTGCAAGGAAAATCAAATATCTATATAGACGAAATTAAACAAAAAAATTGAAAATTGGAGAGAACCAATGACAATTCCTTACCATATTTCCATCCCACAGCTTATGAAGTTTGCTGAACCGCATGTTTAGTTCAACGAGGTACTCCGTACAAAAATTAGAAGGCATACATGTCAACGGAAAACGATCCCATTCTAGTATTTTAAGTTTTCGAGATAGATAATTCAAACCTTGCGGTAAGTACAATTTATCGCTCCGATCACCATAGCGGTAGTAGAATCTTAAGAATTTAAGGTTAGACATTCCTTCAAAAGCTCTCTCACTTATATTTAACTCGCTTGAGAGTTCGGATGAGTAGAAATGTATGCCTATAACACTTTTACTACCCTGAAAAAACCCGAAAAAGGTAGAGAACTAACGCTGGTTACTTATCAAAATAAATTTAATTTGTAGTGAGCAGCAATGTAACGATAGACTAATAATAGAACTAACCGTGTCATTAGTGAGAATTTCACAAATATCTGTAGCATGAACCAGAAATTGACGCTTTCCAGGCTCACGAATGGATTGGTGCCCAGGCTTATGACGAACAATTTCTTTAGCCAATTTTTCTAGCAAATTATGCATCTTTATCCTTCCCTCTTCAATAGATATGAGAGATTTTTCAGCTAATACGTGAATCCCTTGCCTCACATCCAAAGACTTCTCTGCAAGATGTTCTTCCACTTTTTCAATCCTTTTATTATTGAAAAGGCATGCTATCTGAAGAAATAAGTCTTTATCTTCTTCACATAAGGCATTGTAGCTGAACTTTAAAATGCTTTGAATATTGGCATCAAGGCGAGTCCTTAACCTTGGTAGTGCATTTATCCACTCATGTTTAGACATTCCCTTGAAATGGGAGCCCATAACTCTTAAACCCAGTGGTAGTCCACCTAAAAGTCTTGCAACTTCCCATGCAAGCTCTTCGAAACCATCTTTAGGGAAATTTTGTCCAAAAGCATACATACAAAATATTTGGCAAGCTTCATATGCTGATGGAAAATCTACCTTGTAAATATCATTGATGCCATCATGTGCCTTCAAAAGTTTTCGGTCTTGTGTCGTGATGATAATCCGACTTCCACATCCAAACCATCGAGTTTCTTTTGCAATAGCATCTAGTTGTATTGACTGATCGATATTATCAAGAACAATAAACACTTTCTTGTCTTTCAACCGATCTTCTACAACTCCTAGATGAGGAATTTCGATATCCTTGTGGTTGATTATCTGGGACATGAACTGTTTCTGTAAGTGTATCTTTGCACTGTAGTCATCAGAACACACTGGTCTTGTATACATTAAATCCTTGACATTCTCCATAAAGACACTCAATTCAAAAGTGCCGCTAAACTGGCTAAATAAGACTCTAGCAATGGTAGTTTTCCCGATCCCAGAAGGACCCCAAATCCCAATCATCCTCACTTCATCGGAGTGTAGGCATAACAACGGTTCCATTATTTTCATATGTGCTCTCATCCCAATTAAGCCGTCAAAATCACGTGATGGTGTAGAAAAATTCAGCATATTCGAAATATCATTGGCAATTTTTTCAATCATGGCCGCTTCATTATCCCTAATAAATGTGGAAGATCAATATCGTACATATATTTAAAATATATAAATTCTATGTTGGAGTTCAGTAATACTTTTATACACATAATTTGATGTGTTAGAAAGATTGAGAGCATATGGATAATAAGGACGAACCAGCAGCGAGAATCGTAACCAGTAATTGTTGCCACTTTTGCTAGAGCTTGTCTCCATCTCCTTATAAGCTCATTAGTTTTACCGGCACATCTATCTTCGAAGACACTCCCAAAACTTCCGGTGAGTTTCTTAACATCAGATGGATCCACTTTATAGAAAATGGGGATCACTATTTGACTCAATTCTTCTTTGCACTTCATGATCTCCACCAGCTCGTCAAGACACCAAGATGAAGAAGCATAGTTCCTAGATAGCAAGACAATCGCAATCTTAGATCCTCTAATCGCTTGTACGATTTCAAGACCAATTGATTCTCCTCTCTTGATCTCACTATCAATGAATGGTGTGATTCCCTTTCTTTGAAACTCCTTGTGAATATGACTGAGGAAATCTCTGCGGACATCTTCCCCACGGAAGCTTGGAAAGACTTGATGTATTAACTTGTGAGACGAAGAAGATGAAGGAGATATAGAAGGAGAATCAATTTCTTTGTTATCTTTTTGGAATATGAATTTTCTAAAAAGCGTAAAGAAGACTATTGCAGCTGCAAAAGTGCATAGAAAAAATGAAGAATTCATTAGTATGGTGGAGAGGATCAAGATTAAGATTACAAGATGGAGGAAGATCAACAAAGAGGCTTTGTGTATATTGGATATATAAGACCATTGACTCTCTTGGCCGAGATCTTGCATTACTTAGATGTTTCTGCAAAAATAATTAAAGTAATTTGAAAATATAACATGTTACATTTTTGTTTTTTTCAGTTATTCATTGATTTATTTCTTTTTTTTTAATTAATTTTCTAATTTTGAAGATGAATGTTTATATATAAACACTGAAATTAATATTTGAACTAAAAAGTGGCGTTAAAATTGAATTTAAAAAAAAAAATAGAGGATGAGAGAAATTAGAAAAAACTTTTGAACCGACCAATCTCCTTAATTAACAAACGAAAATAATTATTATTATTTATTTTTTTCTGCACCACAGACGAATATAAATATAACATGTTATTTTATAGAAGAAATTTGATAAATTTATTTAGAACATATACGAAAACTAGGCCAATTATTCAATTTTGTCTAGATGATTGAGCCAGCCTTGCACAATACCCATCTTTGTTTTCTATTCACAAGTAGACGCGTTTTTGTAGAAAAACGCAAAGTCGTCGAACCAAAAGTTGACTTAATTTGTTTTCTTCAATAATTTTTTTTTTTTTTGATAAAGATTAGCTCCAATATAAATACCTCACTAAACTGGTCAACATGTGAGAAAGGAGCAATGATAATGAAGAAAACAACTCAAGCTTATCTTCTTCTAAGTTTAGTTCATATACTTCTATGTCTATCCTTTCAGATTCGTGCCATTGAGGCTATACGCCCTCTCCTAGGTCAGTACCTTCTTACTCCCAAATTTTTATGTCATATAATAACAAAGACTATGAATGGTTTTTAGAATAGATTTTTAAACCCAACAATATTACCTCTATTCACAATTTACTTGAACTAAATCTTTTTATTTTTTTTTGAGTTTGCAGCTGATCCACCAAGTCAAATCCGAAATCCACCACCACCCTCGCCTGTATGGCCCTCTCCACCATGTGGATCTAATATCGGAAGTCAAGTTACTGCAATAAGAGAGAAGTCTTGTAGACAAATTCCAAGGCCTCCTAAAACCAAAGAGAAGAAAACTCCAAAGCCTCTTAAAACCAAAAAGAACAAAATTTCAAGGCCTCCTGCAGCTATTCCGTGATCTCCAAACAAGAGTCTGCAGCAAAGACGTTAACAGATAAAACTATGATCCTTTTTGGAATACACCTTATCCTTTGAAAATTCATGAAGTATTTTGTGGATTGTACAACATTTTGTGTTCGCCTCGTTCTTCAATAAATATATTATCTTAATTTTACTATCATTTTTACGATGATTTAATGCTCAAAACTGATGAAACTGGACCATCTCATCTTTGACACTAGGTTGTTTAGCCGCGATATTCACGGCTTGTTGCATAATTCTTATGTTTTGTGTAAACAAATAAAAAAAGTTTTAGAACATATAAAAATAAGACAAAATTACATATTTTACAATATTTTCAATAAAAACATTGGTATCACATATATTTTACATTTTTAACAACAATCGTAAAAGATAACTTTTATCTTTTTCTCTCTTTTTCATATTTCATACAATTTAAGTTATAGTAATAGGTTTTTATATTTTTTACTACTAATTCGGATTACCGATTATATAACTGTTTTTTGGTAAATTTGTTTTGCTGGAAAAATAATAATTTTAACTACAACCTTTAAAAAAAAATATATATATATATATATATATACTGATATTTAAAAAATTATATGCTAGATAAAAAAACTAAAAGTAATTACTATGATTATATTAAAACCAACATAAGAAAAAAAGGTGTCTTCATACACAATTTATTTCATTAAAAGGTCACATAATTATAGAAAATATATACATGAATATGTAAAGACATAATCATAACTCATAGTAGAGAATAAGAATGCTATCATTTCAAAGGTAACTTTAAAATAATTTCCATAATTTTGTTTGAATAGAAGTATAATTAGAAAAAATTGAAAAGGTTCTTACGATTTAATATCTTGCATTTGCTCATATTTTAATAAATACATGTTATATATTACAAAATAAATTGTTGATATAACTCACAGATAATTTGTTTGTTTGTTGATATAAACTCTCACATAATAGTTCAAATTCATATTATTTTGTAAGAGACAAGCTAAATTTATTTTCATGTAAAATTATATGAACTTCAATCTAAAGATTTAAAAAAAAAACACACATGGATAGAAGTATATATATTTTTAATGTATTTTGTTATGTAATTCCACTCATCAATTAAAATTCTAGTTCTAGATTTCATACTAATGGTTTCATATTTATAGGATTTAATAAAATGTTTTTTGCTTTCATTATATATATTTATTTATTTTTTTTTTTGTTTTTTTATATATTTCAGTATTTCACTCCATTTTAAGTATGAGCGTTAGGTTTCATTCTAATGATTTTATTCTAATATTCTACTAACTAAATATAATTTTCATGAAACATATGATTTCATATATTTTTTTAATCTTAAGGACCAAATTTGTTTAATAAGTTTTTTTGTTTTTGAAAAACACTTAAGACTCAAATTTTAATTAAAATAAACATTATAATAATCTTAATATAATTATACATTGGATCACAAAAACTACATATAGTTATACATACTTTAAAAATGAATTACAAAAAGTTATACGAGATAAGAAGAAAGGTAAGAAACGAATACTTGATAAATGTATTAGAATAATTTATTTCATTATATATTGCATAACTAAAAATAATACATGAATATGTTAGAAAATAATCAAATATCTAAAATAAATAACAGAGATAGATCTTTTCAACTTCATTCCATTGTTGTGCGATAATTAGAATTGATATTTTTAACTTTTCATCACCAATAAACCTGAAATTTTTGCTATACCCATCAAATTGTTTATTTTACATATGTTAATTCAAAATTAAAAATATAGAAATTGAAGAAGAAATATGTATAATCTAGTATGGTGTTATAAAATAAAAAATAGAAATAAAAAAGAATCAAATTCTTACAATCATGTTTTCATTGATTTCAACCTATATAACAAAAAATTAGATACATGAATATAGTAGAAGAGGATGAGAAAATGATTAATTATAACGTATTAGATGATAATCTAAAATAGACAATGAAGATGAATCTTTAAAAAATTAAAAATAAAAAAACTAATGTAAATATTAAAATTTAGAATTAAGCTTTTATAATGATATTTAATTTGAGTTTTTTTAACTCATATAATAACAACCACAATATCTTATATAATAGCTCTTGTAGGTTATAGGTCGAGCATTGTGTCTCTTTGTAGTTCGATATCTTCTTTTTCTTGTGTTATGTAACTTTTCCGAATCTTAATCAATATCAATTCAGTGAAAAAAAAAAAGGAAAAAAAAAATAATAACAACCACAACCAAAATAAAAACACACAAACAATAATAAAAAAAGATTTGAGATATAGTGGAAGAGGATGAAAGGATGAGAGAATGAAAGAATGAGAAAATGAGTATTTATAAGATGAGAAGTGATATGAGTTACAATTTAAAAAATGAATATGGGGGTTACAATTCTAATTGATCGTGTGTTGAATAAAATTAATTAGAAAAATATAGTAAATGCACAATGTATATAATTCCAGTTTTATATTGAAGTGTGAGTTAAATGTATATATTAATTTTTTTTTATGTGTGGTTTAATTAAAAATATTTTTTAAAAAAATTACATTGCCAAGGGGACCAATAAGAAGAGAGTGAGGACTTACTTTTATATATATGATTGATATCAAATCATATATATATATATAAGTAATGTTTCACTCTCTCCTTATTTGTTCACTTGGCATGTAATTTTTTAAAAACACATTTTCAAATAAATCACAAATAAAACAAATTTAGTTATATATATTTAAATCACACTTTAATATAAAACCAAAATAATATAAATTATGCATTAACTATATTTTTCTACTTAATTTTATTCAACACACAATCAATTAGAATTGTAACTCTCATATTTATTTTTTAAATTATAACTCCTATCACTTCTCATCCTATAAATACTCATTTTCACATTTTCTCATTCTCTCATCCTCTCATCATCTACCACTATATCTCAAATCTTTTTTTTTATTTATTATTGTTTTGTGTGTTTTTATTCTTGTTGTGGTTTTTGTTGTATGAGTTAAAAAAAAAAACTCAAATTAAATATCATTGTAAAAACTTAATTCTAAATTTTAATATTTAGATTAGTTTTTAAATTTTTTTATAAATTCATCTTCATTGTCTATTTTAGATTATCATCTTATAAGTAATCATTTTTTTTCATCCTCTTCTTCTATACTCATGTATCTATTTTTGTTGGTTATATGGGTTGAAATCAATGAAAACATCATTGTAAGAATTTGATTATATTTTATTTTTACTTTTTTTTTGTTCTTAACACCATACTAGATTATAAAATATTTATTCTTTAATTTTATATTTTTAATTTTGATTTAACATATGTAAAATAATAGTTTTGATGGCTATAGCAAAACTTTCAGGTTTATTGGTGATTAAAAGTTAAAAATACCAATTTTAATCATCGCACAACAAGGAAATGAAGTTAAAAAGATCCATCACCACTATTTACTTTGGATATTTGATTATGTTCTAACATATTCATATATATTTTTAGTTATGCAATATATAATGAAATAAATTGTTCTAATACATTTATCAAAATTTCGTTGCTTACATCTTTTTTATCTCAAAAAATTTTTTGTAATTCGTTTTTATTATATCTATAATTATATTTAATTTTTTTGATCCAATATATAATTATATTAGAATTATTATAATGTTTAATTTATTTAAAAATTTGAGGCTTAAGTCTTTTTCATTTATGTCAGCAAAGTGCACTTATCATTTCGGTCAAACGTCCTGATAGAACTTCACAGTTAAGCGTGCTTGAGCTGGAAAAATTTAAGGATGAGAGACATATTGGGAATGGATTATCGGTACCGTACGAATGAGAATAAAACACGGAGAAAGATCACGAAGTGATTTGTGGGATCGGTAAACAAGTCTTTTGAGCTTCTTGGACGTAGGAGATCGGCTGCCTGACATGGGTTGACCCACGGACCAAGAAAGAACATGGGATCCATTAAGGGTGGCGGTTGAGGCGTTACAAATTAACATGGAATGGAAAGGATATGATGAATGTTACAGATAGTACTTAAGAATGATCTTACAAAATATTCTCTTATTAATTTCATGGTTACATTTAAAAGTGGTCTCATGTTTATGAAGGTTATGAATTGTTTTGGTGAACATATAAATGATGTATTGATGATGGAAAAGGTTATTAATGAAGTGTGTCATCAAAATGTTGTTTAAACAATCACTGATAATGCAATAAATTGTGAGGCTTACTTGAGAGATTATTGAGAGTGTATTTTCACATCTTTTGGAGACCATGTGTAATTCATATTTTTAACCTTGCCTTGAAGAACATTTGTTTAGCAAAAATGTCGTAATGAATGACGAAATATATAAGGAATGTAAATAGATAACATAAAAAAATGGAGAGATCTTGGCAATCAAACATTTCATCATGAACCATACCATACGACTAGCTATTTTTAACATGTTCCCTCTTTTTAAATTGCTTTCAATTGTTGATACTAGTTTAACCTTCCCCGTGTCATCCTCTTTATAACAAAACCATTCCTCACTTATGGTTACGGCTTGAATAACCTTTTTTGGTTAGCTTGATACTCTTTTCATGATAAAATGTTTGATTTTCAAGACATCTCCTTGATTTTTTTGTTATTTACTTACACTCATGTTTCCTCATTCACTTTCACGTTCTTTGCTACACAATTGTTATTAAATACAAGATTAAGAGTGTGAACCACACATGATATCTAATAGATGTGAAAAAAACATATTCTCAATAAACTCTTCAACCACTTTCAATTTATTACATATATGCACCACATTTTAATGAAAACCTCATTTATAACTTCTTTCATCAAATCAAATTAACAATTAATAATTTATTTTTTAACAAAACAATGCACAGCCTTCACAAACATAAGACCATTTCCGAAAGTAGTCATGAAATTAATCAAAGGTTTTTTGGTTTGAGCACTCCAACCATCTGTCACAATTGGCACTCTTTTCTCCTTCCATGTTAATTTAAGCAATTGTAATAATCTCTCAACATGGTTATTTTTAATGTAGTAAAGTGCTTTAGAGTTTATTATAGCCACACGTACATACCCTTCAATCTTGTTACTAGTAACAAAA